ATATATATATATATATATATATATCGTGCTTGTTAATAAATAATAGTATAGATTGTAGATAATAATTACTACTATTATTATATAATTAGTATTAGTTTATTGGGGAAGTGTTAATCGTTGTATATATGTTACATGTTGTTAGTACCAGGAAATGAATTCGGAGACACTCAAAATACAGAGGCGCTCGAAATCTAAATTGATTGGAAAATGGCAAAGGAGGTCTCAGAAATAAAGAGAATCAGAGGATACTCGAAGACACCTTTCGTGAAGTTCTCGAAATCATGACACCAGGAAGGATGCTATTCAGGAAGACTCAGCCTAGCAACCCCTCAAGGTACAAGCAAAAAATCAGGAAACATTCAAATATAGTTTTCGTTGGTTACTCGAAATCCCAAGAATCCGGACATACACGAATACACTTCGTAACCTCTCAAAATGAAGAACTTAATGGAGACACGATCTAAGAGTGGTCGAAGTAGCATAGGATAAGTGTCAAAGGCTGTAGAACGGTTTAGGGAAGTTAGTGAGCAGTTCCATGAATCATCCAAAGACGTGCCCGGGAATAAGCCACGATGTGGAAGTTTAGAACGGTTATGCACTTCTGGGGCACGTCAGAAATAACTTATCTGAATCTTTGTCTATTTGTCTATAAATTAAACGAGCCTTGCTCGTAGTAGGGGTCAGAAAGCTAATTCCCACACACACTCCTCGCCGACGCACAAGGCACAACGTGCATACGAGACAGCTTTGGGTACGATTTCTCGACCACTTTTCTTTCCTTTTTTAGGAGTAGCGTAGCATAGCATAATCTAGTCTAGTGTAGTGTAGTCACTCTGAACATGTTTCGTTATCCTTACGAATTGTAATTCTGTTACCATTTAATGAAGGATATGATTTCTGCAGTCAATATACATGTCATCTGTTCGATTCACGTTAATTATTATATGCATGAAATTGATTGTACAATTAGCATAGATCTTCTGATGTGCTGAAACAAGCATAGATCTTCTGAAGTGCTAAAACTGGCATAGATCTTCTGACGTGCTCGAAATAGTGAGCATAGATCTTCTGATGTGCCAAACCAGCATAGATCTTCTGAAGTGCTCGAAACAATGAGCATAGATCTTCTGACGTGCTGAAACAACACCCTAAATTAACTCTATTCGCTGCTTGTACGAATTTATTTTCTTTCACTGAAAGTCTTCGATTCTGTCATGTCACGAACACCACAAATTGAAACGTGAACTCGTGCTAGTTCGAACAAAAAGAACCTACGAACGAAATCCCCCACAAACACATGTATTTGATAATTAGATTGAGAATCATCGATTATCACTACTAGAAAAGTGTCATTTTCTTGCAAATTTTTCTGCAAAAAAATATTCGTAAAATTGTTTTGCGAATTTTCTTGGAAAAAAATATTCTCATAATTTTTTTGCAAATTTTCTTGTAAAAAAATATTTGCAAAATTTTTTTGCGAATTTATTTACGAAAAATAATTTACAGATATTTCTTACAAATTTTGCTACAGTTTTAATAATCATAGAAATTTTTTTCCATGGTAAAAATTTGCAGAAAATATTGTAAGAATTTTATTTTATTTTCTTGCAAAAATAAATTTGCAAGTAATGTTTACTAAATGGTAGAAAAATTCTACAGGTAACTTTTCCTGCGGATTTTCCTGCAAATTTTAATCCGCAAGAAAAATATTTTTTTTTTAAATTTATAAGTTTAATATTTTAAAAAAACTTCAAGTCTCACATCGATTGAAAATAAAGCAATTAAAGAGTATATAAGTTGGGACAACACTTACCTTACAAGTTGATTTATATGGTTGAGTGTTAGACTTATAATCTACCATCTTAGAATTTAAAAGATTATGTATCACATGTTGGAGGCATGATGCTTCGGATGAATTCATTGTGAGCAGTTGAAAGTTAAAAAATTATTGATAGAATTTATAGTAATTTCTTTATTTTTTTCGTAAAAAATATTCCTGAAAAATTTCTTGCGAAAAAATTCGCAGGAAACTTTCTTGCGAATTTTTTTTTGGAGGAAACTTTCGTGCAATTGTTTTTTGCAAGAAACTTTTATGTGAATTTTTTTCGCAAGAAATTTCACAGGAAAATTTCCTGCAAATTTTAAAATTTACAAAAAAATATTATCCACGAAGGTATTACCTGCAAATAAAATTTCGCGGAAAAATTTGCAGGAATAATTTTTCCTGCGAATTTTTATAAAAATTCGCAGGAAAAATCATATGTAATAAGAGAAATTCTAGTAGTGTACACACTTCATGTGTCGTGATTTCCTCACTTGCTATTATGAACTAGCATAAGTTTTTTTTATTTTATAATAATAATTATTATAAGTATACAGTACACTTTTATTTCTTTACACTTCTCTCCAATTTTCTTTTACTAAATAATTCTATTTTATTTACTTTCGCTCATTTTTATTTCTTTATCTCGATTCCCCACTTACCAAACAAATTTGTAAGAGTTATAACTAGACATGATTTATTATAAATGTTAGTTACACTTTTTAATATCTCATTTATAATGTCTTTCTATTGATTTAGTAATAAGTTTATCAAAGTTTATAAATTTAAAAAATTATCAATAACATAGTAAATATATATGTTTTAGGTACTAAAATCATAAAAAAAATTATAAAAACAAAAAATATATATTAAATCATAGGAACTAAAATAACCAAAAGAATTTTATTAAAAAAAATATCAATTTCGATGGACTAGTTTTTTTTACACAATCTCACATGATACATTTTTTCATAATTTCGATTTTATTTTCACATGTAAATGGTAAAAGATGTTCAACTCATTTTTCTCCAGTAGTTTGGTTTGCTCCTTATATATATATATATATTTTTTTTTTTTCTGAAGTAAATAAAGGCTAAATAATGGCACAAATTTGGTTTTCTCATGACTTTTTCCAATGATGGTCTTGCAAGTTGCAACTCTTTATCCTTCATTATTCAATTCTTTGACTCGAGTCTTCTATGATTTTTTTTTGTTCTTTTGGAAACTATCCATACTGTTCGACAATTGCTCGATGATAAATAGTACATCTTTCAATTAAAAAAAATAATAACTAGTCTCACTAAATATAACATTTTCTTTCTAATACTTTTCTTGCTATTTTTGTTTTGAAAATCTTTTAACAATAATTCCACATCAAATGTAACAAAATAATTAAGTTATGATATTAGACCACAAATCCGTAATGAGAAAGTGAACTCATGATTTGAGCATTGTTTTTAGCTTACTGTCTATACAATTCATTTATAGACACATGATATGTTTGAATATAAGTTAAAAATATCTTTAAAACTTTTTTATGAGTATATTTTATAAATAAATTTTTTAAAATTTTAAAAATTTGTATCTGAATATACTATAAGTGGAATGAATATTTTGACTTTATCTTTTTTCTTATATAATGTATTTGCCTAATTA